GCCACTCCTCCCAGCTCTGTGCCACCAGTGCCAACGTTGTCCTTGGTGTGGATGGCTGTCAGTGGGCACAGCCTGGGCACGGGGACAAGGGGGGGCAGCAGGACCTGTGTGACCACCAGGATGACGTTGTGTTTCAGGGAGCCCCTGCCTCACCATGACGTTCAAGCAAGCGTCCATGATGGCCCCAGAGGCCACGGCCACCACGGTGCCCATGACCACGATGGAGAACTCCACTGAGGCCACGGGCCCGGGCGAGAGCAAGGAGGACATGTTCACCAAGCTGAGGGACAAGTTCATGAACGAGCTCAACAAGATCCCCTGTGAGTAACTGCCTCCTTTCCCTAGGCATTCGCCTCCTCATTCCCCCACCACCACTCTGGTCCCAGGGCAGCCTGTGGGACGAGGTGGTGGGGTCCTGGGGCTGGGGGAGCTGGGGGCTGACCACAACACTGGCTCTTGCTGCAGTGCCCCCCTGGGCGCTCATCGCCATCGCGGTGGTGGCCGGACTCCTCATCCTCACCTGCTGCTTCTGCATCTGCAAGAAGTGCTGCTGCAAGAAGAAGAAGAACAAGAAGGAGAAGGGCAAAGGCATGAAGAATGCCATGAACATGAAGGACATGAAGTCAGGCAACCAGGTGATGTCCTTCTGGAGTGCTTGGCCTGCGCTTGGTGTTGTAGGATGGTCCCACTGGCTGAGTGGCATGTTGGGCACTCACAGCTCTGGCAGGGAAGAGGGATGGAGCCCCTTGGACCCTGGGGTGGAGCCTGGACCTGTGACAGCAGCACTGTCCTCTGCCAGTGCCCAGTGGCCCGGACAGAACCAGGCTCAAGCTGGCCTGAACCTGCCAGTGCTTCACCTGCACCAGCAAATGTTGATTTAACCCCTCGTGTCTCCCCACCTTCCTCCTTGTCCTCATTTCATTGAGCTGTGCCAGGACAAAATGCCCATCAGAATGGGGTCCCCAAAAAGCCAGTGCTCAAGAGGCATTGGCCAGCAGGGGCCTGGCAGGAAGGAGACTTTGATACCAGCAGGCCTGGGGAGATCCTGGCCACTTCAAGGACCCCAACCCAAAGCCATGGGGACGGGGTGGGAGATCTTGGGCATCTGTTCCTGCTCCTCAGAGCCATGTAAGCCCCATGGGCATGAGGGCAGGGCTGGAGAGATGAGTGCTGAGTGGAGATGCTCCATCATCCCTGCCAGTCTGCAGGCCCTCATGGTGGTGGGAGGTGTGGGGTGGGATTCCCCAGTGGAGGGCAAGGGCTGACATACCCTGGGCTTGCAGGGGCCATGCAAACCCTGAGTCTCCATCTTGCTGTGGGTCCCTTGTTGCTGCTCTCTGTAATGTGGCTTTTTCTTCCCTCCTGGTACTCATGGTGTCCTCTGCTGCCCTGTCTGCATGGTCTGTCTCCAACCCGGGATGCCCGCCATGGTAGGTGCCACCATGAACCTCCTTCTCCATCATCTACTTCCAGGGTGGGATGGGGGACCTGGGAACACGTCAGGCCCAGGGGTCCCACACCATGGGCCATGGCTCAGAGGGCAGGGGGAGGGGTGGCTTTGCCTTAGGAGAATTAGACTAAATCTCTGTTGCTAAGCTGTGAAGGGCTGGGGGTGACCCTGCTGAGTCCTGGGCACGGGCTGGGGGTAGAGTGTCCTTGTGCCCTCCTCACACCCCCCCTGTGAGCACCAAACCTCCCTCTGGAGCTGCCCCGTGTCCCTGCCCCCCGAGCAGCCCCCCAGCATCTCAGTGGGGTGGGTACTGGGGGCTGCCTGGCTGTGTGGCTGTGGGCAGAGCCGGTGCCACCCCAGGGCTGCTCTGGGGGTACCTTGTGTCCCCAGCATGAGGCTCTCCTGTCCCTGACGGGTCAACCCGGGCGTCGAGATGCCAGTAGGGTGGGGGGCTGGAGGTCCCCAGGGGTGTGGGGATGGGGACGCTGGGCTGGGCCCCCCCTGCTGAGCTGGCACCTTCCCTTCTGTTGCAGGACCAACAGGACGACGACGATGCAGAGACAGGTCTGACAGAGGGGGAAGGTGAGGAGGAGGAGAAGGAGCCAGAGAACTTGGGCAAGCTGCAGTTCTCGCTGGACTACGATTTCCAGGCCAACCAGGTGATGGAGGGGCTGGGCTTGGCTGGGGAGCTGGGGGAGTGGGGTTTGCCCGGGAGGGCAGCTAAGAGAAGTGTCCCTGTTGGACTTGGGTGGCACAGGAGGGAAAAGGGAGGTGGGTGCTGTACCATGGGGAGTCCTGCCCCACGCTGGGCTGGAGATGAGCCCATGGCAGCCACAGTGCATAGCTGGGCCCTCTCGCTGAAGCCCCACATCCCTCTCCCTGCTCCAGCTGACAGTGGGGATCCTCCAAGCAGCTGAGCTGCCAGCTCTGGACATGGGTGGCACTTCAGACCCCTACGTGAAGGTGTTCCTGCTCCCGGACAAGAAGAAAAAGTATGAGACCAAAGTGCAGAAGAAGACACTCAACCCTGCCTTCAACGAGACCTTCACCTTCAAGGTGAACCCTTTCCTACCTACAGCATGGGACCTTGTCTCTCACTTTCACCTCTGCCCCTGATTGTACTCCTCCCTCACTCACTCCACTGCTGGGAGTGGGAGGTCCTGGCTCGGGGTCCTTGGAGCACATTGCCAGCCTGGTTGGTGGCCCTCTTTGTGCAGGTCCCCTACCAGGAGCTGGGAGGGAAGACGCTGGTGATGGCCATCTACGACTTCGATCGCTTCTCCAAGCACGACATCATTGGTGAGGTGAAGGTGCCTATGAACACGGTGGACCTGGGCCAGCCCATCGAGGAGTGGCGGGACCTGCAGAGCGGCGAGAAGGAGGAGGTGAGAGCAGGACCAGCGTGAGGCCCTTAGGCACCTGAAACCTTTGGCCAGGGGTAGGAGATGCGGGGTGGCCGTGGGGTGAGCTTTCTGGGCCATCCCATAGTGCTCAGGGTGATGATTCCTGTGGGGTCCCACCAGAATATCGTGCATGTCCTAGCCATGGGTGCTGGGCAGGATCTGCCCCTGGTGTTCCACTCTGCAAAAGTCTTTCTGTAACAGGAGCAAAGAGTCCAAATTGTGGAGTGATGTGCTGGGATGGGCCTGACCCAAGTCATCAAACCCTTGTGCTGGTGCATGGGGTGCCAGCTTGTGTCTGAACTGAAGGTTGAGTAGGGTTTGGGGGGACCTGCACTGAGTGCACCCTCATCAAGACTGGGGGGGACACCACGCTGTGCAGTGGGGTTGGTGCACTGGAGGGGAGGGATCCACCCAGAAGGACCCTGACAGGCTGGAGTCATCGTGCCCACCTCCTGAAGTTTGACAAGGTCAAGTACAAGGTCCTGCACCTTTGTCAGGGCAACCCCTGGTGTCAACCCAGGCTGGGCAGAACAGGGACCGAGGGCAGTTTAGAGGAGAAGGTCTTTGGGGTGCTGGTTGATGAAAAACAACATGAGCCAACAATGTGTGAGTGCAGCCCAGAAGCCAATCCCATCCTGGGCTGCATCACAAGGTGTGGCCAGCAGGTCCAGGGAGGGGATTCTGCCCCTCAGCTCCACTATGGTGAGACCCCACCTCGAGTTCTGCATCCAGCTCTGGAGCCCCCAGCACAGGGAGGGCATGGAACTGTTGGAGTGGGTCCAGAGGAGGACCATGAAGATGATCTGAGGGCTGGAACCCCTCTGCTACCCAGGGACTGAGGCGCTCAGCCCAGGCTGAGGGAGTTGGGGTTGTTCAGCCTGGAGAAGAGAAGGCTCCAGGGAGACCTTATTGTGGCCTTCAATGTCTGCAGGGGGACTACCAGCAAGCTGGGGAGGGATTTTTTACAAGGTCTAGTGATAGGATGAGGAGTAATGGCTTCCAACTGGAAGAGGGGAGATTTGCTTCAGAAACTAGGAAGAAGTTCTTCACTGTGAGGCTGGTGAGACACAGGTTGCCCAGGGAAGCTGTGGATGCTCCATCTGCAGGAGTTTGAGGCCAGGCTCGCAGGTAGATGGGGCTTGGAGCAACCAGGTGTAGTTGTCTGGCAGGGGGCTTGGAACTAGATGATCTTTAAGGTCCCATCCAACCCAAAGCTTTCTGTGCTACGATGACTGTGTCCCAACACTGCAGTACCATACACTGGCAAGGCTTTGACATCTGCTCCCTGCTCTGCTCGGCAGCCAGAGAAGCTGGGAGACATCTGCATCTCCCTCCGGTACGTGCCCACAGCTGGGAAGCTCACTGTCTGCATCCTGGAGGCCAAGAACCTGAAGAAAATGGATGTCGGGGGTCTCTCAGGTGGGTGTTGTCCCATAAGCATCGTCCTCACTCCCTGCTGTGGGGAAGGACACCAGGTCCAGCAGACTGGCAGGGCTCAGGGAAGTCCCCCCGGTGCCTGGGACCTCCTGCATCAGAGGCAGCCTGAGAGCTGGCAGGGACGGGGAGGGGCCATGGGGATGGGATGAACACCCCAAGGACGGGCTGGATTTTGTTCCCCACTGTGTGTGGGGCCAGGGTGCTGCAGGCCCTGGCTGGTGAAAATGCTTCTCTGCCATCTGCTCCTGGTCCTGCTCCTCCTCGACGTGGGGCCCACAACTGACAGTGTGTTTTATACCAGGAGAGTTCCCAACTCCACTCCAGGGCTGGGCCACCCAGGGGTCCTGAGCTCTCTCCACATCTGCCTTGATCAGAAGAGCAGTACCTGCATGTCTGGAAGAGTTCAGCTTTGTTGCTGGGGTATCCTGCTCCAGAAGTGTGGGTGACAGGCCCACACCCACCGGTGTCACCCCTCCTACGAGGGGACCCCCAGGACTCAGAAGATCTTCATCCCTTGGGCAGTTGCTCCCGTGAATATTCTCCAGCCCAAATGTTTTGGCTTTGGCCTCCATCCACAAACCTCGGAGCACCTTTACTCATGGTGCACTTGGTTCTGGGCTAAGACTTCTCCTGGGGCCAGGCTGCTGGTGCTCCCTGGGCATCTCAGCCTTGGCTGATGCACTCTCCTGTCCCCCAGATCCCTACGTGAAGATCCACCTGCTGCAGAATGGAAAGAGGTTGAAGAAGAAGAAGACCACAGTCAAGAAGAAGACCCTGAACCCCTACTTCAATGAGTCCTTCAGCTTTGAGATCCCCTTTGAGCAGATACAGGTTTGTCTGATGACTTCCATGGGAGGCAGGCAGGGTGAGGTGATGGGAGAAGTCCCATAGCTTCCTGACCACATGCCCCAGACTTCCCAGCAACCTGAGCAGCTCCTGCCAAGCTCCTGGTCTGGTCACCCAGGACATAAGTCCAGTCCCAATCTGAGCCTGGGATGCTGCTGGTGCAGGGGCCAAGGTGGGAGGCTGGAGATGCAGGGTCAGTGCAGATCACAGCTGGAATGGGTCTCTCCTCTGCTCCTGCTCCTGTAGAGCTCACCCCAGGCAGAGCAGGGCCATGGTCCAGGGGGCATTTTGGACCTTTGGTATATTGGTAGGTACCTTCTGCCCTTCCATGTCCTGGCACATGCCCCTTGCCCCAGCCCTGTCAAGCCCTGTAGCCCACAGCTCCTGCCCAGCCCCACCACCCCTTGGTGCCCTTTCCCAGGTGGCCACGTCAGGGTGAGCAGGGTCCCCACTGTGCCTCTGCGGTCCTGGGCTCCTCGGGGAAGGAAGGGGAAGAAGCTATGGGCAGGGAGGGGACCCTGCCCCCAAACAGGGCACAGCAGGGCTTAGCCTTGGGGGGCCCCTGGGGTGCCCTGCTGGGCGACCTCGGGGGGGACAGCCCGGAGGCCGTGGGGTGGTGCAGCCGCTGCTCCTGCCTGCCCTCTGAGGAAGGTTTCCTTCTTTAGAAAGTGCAAGTGGTCATCACGGTGCTGGACTACGACAAGCTGGGGAAGAACGAAGCCATCGGCAAGATCTTCACAGGCTGCAACTCCACGGGCACGGAGCTGAGGCACTGGTCTGACATGCTGGCCAACCCCCGGCGGCCCATCGCCCAGTGGCACTCGCTGAAGCCGGAGGAGGAAGTGGACGCAGCTCTCGGGAAGAACAAATAGGGGCTTTTTGGGGGGGGTCCGGGGCGGTCCCCGCCAGAGCCACCGATACCTCACTGCTGCTCCCCTGGTTCGGTGTTGTCGTTCCGTTCTCCGCTGAAATCCCCCTGCTGGCTGCGGGAGGGTTCCCCGGCAGCCCCAACAGCTTCCAGGGGAAGAGGTTAAAGACACGGATGGTTCTTTTTGTTCTTCATCATCGCTCCCTTCTGCTGCATGTCCC